TGCTGTCACAGTGCTGCTCTACTGGATGATGGCCACTTCTGTGTGATGGCTTTCCACAGTTATGGAATAAAAGCAATTTCAACTTTACTACTTCTTAGTGGATTACGGTATGCTTAGCTATAAATATACTACTAAAGTTGTTAAATGCTAGTGTACATTTATTAATCCCCATAAATATTAGAGCTATGGAAGAAATAATCCTATATTTATTGTATACATACATCTTTTAGAATTAAAGGTCAATATCAAAATGCACTGAAAAGCTATTTCTAATCTGCAGCCCACAAAAAAAAAATTATACTCTGGATAAGTTGTATGCACCTAGATAATTCATTTAAGATAAATATTTATTTGGCAACCAAATCATCAAATAAAACATTATAAAGTACTAGAAAAATATTTTTAAAAGCTCTAGTTAATTTCAGTTTTCTCCACATCTTTGCCAGTTGGCTGCACCAAGTTTCATTCACCCTACTGATAAACAGTAAGGGCTGAGTGGCATGCATACGACCATCAAAAATAATGCCTTTTTTTTTTTTTTTTTTTAATTTCCTCATAGCAAAAAAAAAACCAGCAAGCAGATCAGTACAGACCAAAATGGAAAATCATTTGTTTGACCTTTGATAAAATAAGCAAACAATGGGTCAAGGACATTAACAATTCCCTTAAACATGAAAGGGTGAACTTCCGTATCTAAAAATATTCCCTTCTGTAGCAAAAATCTTATGACAATTTTAAACAGTAGGAATGGTTTTGAGGGAGCTACAGTTCCCTGGTGACATATAGTGGAAATCCTGACAACTTTAGCTCTTACATTGTAGAAGTATGTTATACCATTGCCCAGATTAAATGCATTTAACAATTGATCATAAAATCTCCCTCAATTTTAAATGCCTGAATACTAACTTTCAAACATTTTTAAAGAGCAATTTCACTTTTGCATCTTAGGTAAACCTTAAAATGTGGACTAAATTCAACTCTGGCACAATTTACGCAGGCATAACTCTCATTCAAATCAGTGGTCAACATGCCAGCAATGCCAAGGCTGAATTTAATCCGCAGTGATAGAAAAGCACAACAAGTTAAAGTGCCTTAGCATCAAAACCCTGCAATTTTATCTTGTGGACTACAGTTCACCTTTGAAGAAACACTATTAAAAGTACAACACCCGAATTTAACTAATTGCAATTACTTAGAAGAGCCTACATGAATAGTGTTTGGTGTTCCCCCTGCTGGTTTTGCACTTAACTTACAAACACTATTCCTCTGGGTATGACTTGATAATACTGGTGTTTAAAGGATGTTTTGGCATGATAAGGAAATGGAAAAGGGAAAAATAAGATTAGGCCTGTTCAGCTTAGAAAATAGATGACTAAGGGAGGCCGGGGGTGCAGGGAATATGATAGAAGTCTATAAAATCATGAGTGGTGTGGAAAAAGTGAATAGGGAAGTGTTATTTACCCTTTCACATAATACCAAAGCTAGGGGGCACCTGATGAAAGTAATAAGCAGCAGGTTCAATACAAACAAGAGCTAGTGTGGGAAAAAGTACAACGCAGAACTGCCTTGTGGCACTTATAACCATGGGAATGTTACGATGGCCAAAAGTATAACTGGATTCAAAAAAAGAACAGGGTAAGTTAATGAAGGATAGGTCCATCAATGGCTATTAGCCAAGATGATCAGGGTCACAACCCCATGCTCAGGATGACCCTCCACTTCTGACTACCAGAAGTGGATCACTCCAAATTTCCCTGTTCTGTACACACCCCTGAAGCTCTGGTACAGGCCACTGTCAGAGACAGGATACTAGGAAAGATGGACCATTGTCTAACCCACTATGGAAGTCCTTATGTTGCTGAAGTTGCGTTTGTTAAAAGAAAGAGGCATGATCATTTAAAATACATTTTTATTCACATAATATGACTATCTGAAGTTCTGGATAGCTGTCCAAAAGCTAAATAATCAAATATGTGTATTAGCACAAGTGCCCAACATGAACCCCACTGCCAACTAGGACTCTCCCATCACCCATTAAACCCCACTTTTAAAGCCTGAGACAAAAGAAACTCTGAAGTGTGACCTCAAGGTTAGCAAATTTGGGTTTGAGCAAACAACTGAGGGAAGCAAGTTCCAGAACTGAAATCATGAAAGTGTAGTGCTGGAAGGGACCTCAAGGGGTCATCAAGTCCAGATCCCTGCACCGAGGACCCTTCATTGAAACAATGAAGTATACCTCCAACCCCCTCCTGATTAAACCCAGGAGTTTTTAGTTCATACACCTCAGCTGATTTCAACAGCTGCAGTATCTTCCAGAAAGAGGGTCAATCTCTCCAGTAACCAGGATCCAAACCATCTACCACTTTATAGGTTAAATGAAAGTTGTTCTAAAGAATCCATTTTTCCATGAAAACTTTCATGAAAGTTCTTGCTGAGAATATTTTTATACAGCTCTAGTTAAAACCAATCAGTACCTGGAATTCAGTAGGTAAGGTACTTTTTGCAATAAGTGCTACTAAACAAATGAGTATATATACTTTGCACTAGTTGTAGTTACTGGCTAGTTCAACTTCTAAGATGTGCGTGTTTCATAAAAGCAATCCTGAGCATTGCTGCTATCCGAGCCTTCCATCTCATCTTTAGACTAATCAGACCCTGAGGCTTTGGACATTAGTAACAAGAAGTGGGCACACTTCCTCCATGAAGGGAGCCAATTGTCATCCCCAGCCTTTCTTGTGCTATTTACACAGTCAATTAGCATTTTTGAGATCTTATCTAGTTTGAGTTTCAGCCAGCTTACCCTCACATCCAAGCCTCAGCCCCAGCCACAAAGGTAAATAATATGTTCAAACAGAGGTGACAGGACTATTTATTTCTGAGTAGGGGGGGGAGGGGAAATCAAACTATTTTCATTTTATCAAACAGATTACAATGACTATCTGCATGCAAGAAACAGGAGTCATATAAAAATATTTCCTAGTAAAGCTAAATTATATTGATTGACACCTATTGGAGAACAAAATGATGCACAGAAAAGTTAAAATGAATTAATGATTTATAGAACTGTCATTCAGAAATTATGTCATTTTGATCGATATAATGGCGTTTACCATGGAATGTAAACGCAAGGACAGAAAGGGGGGGAAAGGCAATGCGCACACATATATGCCTTAACTTATGCTTGAAACGCTCCTTCTATTTAACAACTTAGTCAGGATTTTTGCTATTTTGAGAACAACCACAACATCCCCCAATATCACTCAATTTCAAGTGACATAACTTTGCAACTAAATGTGAAGCTGAAATTGTGAATGGTCCAATAATTTTTTACTTACATTTAACTCTCCTTTAATTGCACACATTACAGTACTTTGATGATTGTTATTTAGAGAAGTAGTAAATACTTACAAATCTGGAGTTACTGAATTGCAGTACTTCCACTGTAAAATATGCAGCAGTAAATCCCATGTGTCAACAACCAAAAAGCTATCTTTTTCTGTACTATATCAATGAAATTCTACTAAAATGACATACCACTGGTATTTGTTCTATCTTCCAATACACTAAACATTGTGAAATTATACACTGCAATACTACACTAGAAAGTTCATAAGCCAAATTCACTGCTGGCATGATGAAGTTCCAGTTTATACCAATAGTGAATTTGACTTGATGTCTTTATATACAGTCACTAATGGACTACAAACTTCTGTAGCTTTCTTTAACATATGGGTCTGAAAAACAAAAGAATTTGCATTAAAACACCTGTAGCATTTAATAGGAAAACTGCCTGCCTCATAGTTCCAGTATTTTTTCAAATACAATGCTTTGCACTTCTAACATTCCCCCATCTACAGGATCTTTGATTCTTTACAAACATTAATGAATTGATCCATATCCCACCCAGGCGGTGGACATTATCCTCTTTTTACGTATGGGAAAAGAAATACACAAAAAAGTTAAATACTTTCCCAAAGTCACTAAGTTACTCACAGAACTGTAAACAAATCCCAGATAATACTAAAAATAATAAAAATCTTTGCTACCAAACTACAAGACCCAAGTGTGTGCTAAACACAAGTGTCTAGGCCCCTAATTTGCTCTGTTATAGTGGTGCCATCCAATTAAAAATCAATAGGATGCGCCAGTGTAAGTGATAATTCAGTCCCTACTGTTTAAAAGAATGTTTTTGTCTATTAAAATCTAAACCTACCAAGAATCAAACAGTCATGGTCAACAAATCATGCCAATAATAATAGCAATGTTTGCACAACAGCAAAGCATGTAACAGAAGACAATATGCTCCAACTACAGTCAGTCTTTTCCTGAGTTCACAGCCTACATAGAAAATGTCAGAGGGCCAACTTAAATGTCACAGCACAAAATTATGCCGTTAATTATTCCCAGGCACTCCAACGAAGTCAAGTTCTGCTTCGGGAAAAGCGAGCGTGACAGGGGTGTAAGGGGGGGGGAATGTGGCCCTGTGACTCAGCTCTCATTGATGTTCTGACACACCGCAGCTGAAGTGCAGAGACACCCAAATCCCAAGGAGACGGACACATGGGAGAGAGGGTGAACGCACTTGCGGTGAGCCCCATCAGGACTACACGCCGCGTTACTTCCTCTTCCCTTAGGAAGATGCCGAGCAGGGCATCCCGAGGGCGAGCAGCTCCAAGCGCCGGGCTCAGCGCGGACAAGCCCCCCACCAGGGAACCCGCTCACCCACTCCCAAGGGCTGCCGCAAGTGAACACACCCTGCTCAAAGCGGGGGCGCCCCCGGAGCCCTGCTCGTGGGCGGGATGTCAGCGGCTCACCGGCAGCGGCAGAGTCAGGCAAAGCGCCGAGCAGCCCCAACGCTGCGAACATACGCAGCAGGGAGGCTGCCAAACCAGCATCCCCAAGAGCCCGCAAACTGCACACCCACACACCCCCCCGCGCTGCCCCCCGGGCTGCAGCTGGGGCAGCCCGGCCACCCGGGGCAGCGGCGTTCCCAGACCTACCTCTCAGCGGGTCTGTCAACCCGGGACACCCCCAGGAGCAACTTCAGAGGAAACGGCAACAACTTTCCCTGCGCTCCAGGGGTGCAGCCCGGCTACGCCATCCGGAGCCAGCTGCCCCGGGCGGAACGGGCCGCGGCGGGGGCCGCTCCGAGGTGCCTGCGAACGCCCTGGTCGCCCCGAGCGGGAGGAGGAGAGAAGCGCCCACCCGCTCCGCCAGAAACCTGCGATTCACCCCATCGGGCTGCGACTCCGAGCAAGTTGGAGCAACACGCACCGGGGCGGGGCCTGCTTCTCGGCCGCGTCAATCAGCGCCCAGCGGCCCTGCTATTGGGCGAGGGGCGGGGACAGCGCCGCGATGGGCGCGCGGAGCCGCGGCCCTCGGAGACTCCTCCTCCCTTCGGCCCGCTCGCTCTGCGCCCCTCCCCCTCCCCCCCAGTTGATAGATGAGCTCCGAGCGCTTCTTCGGCCTTTTCCCCTGCCCCGGGGCGGGTCGTTTCCTCGCAGCAGCGGAGTGCCGGGCTGGGAGAGGCGAGGACATGCACAGCGTGTTGCTTGGACCAGTCCCTCCCTTCAGCGAGACACACTGGCCGCAGTTTGTCATGTACATTTGACTTTGGGTTAAACCCCAGACACGTTATGCAACATTCCAGCTGAGTTTTTCCAGGACAAGTTTGGGATAATATTTTAACTTTGTCTTTTCGAGATCTGGGTAAAAGATTGCCCGATCTAGCCAATGGGGCCCAACCTTGCTAATTCTTCCTGTTAATAATGGACAAGTGTGGATGTAGGCACTCCTTTAACATTAAAAAAAAGAAAATCTAGTCATATTGCTGCAGCTGGTCCAGATTCTGTCGGTGGATCTTCCTGGATTTAGACAGTTTTTGGTTGCAGTCTCTCAGATTCTACTGCCTAAATAGAGAATATTGCCACTCTTGCTGCAGTTTATAAATCTGGACCCTACTGCACCCCAGTGCAACAGTGTTACCAAAAAATACTTCAGATTCAGCATCTGTATCCTGATGGAGTCTGCCAAATAGTACCATCATAAGACAGAGCAAGTGTTGCTTCTGCTATTACACACACACACACAAATTGGCTCCAATACATCCTAGTACTGCAAAAACTCAGTTTTGCCGTTGTATCCTGTTGCAGCTGGCTAATTTTAGGCTGCATAACCCTGCATTTTACGCTGCATAACCCTGAATTTTACTGACAAAACCTTCTCTGACATATGCACCTTATCCTAATCCACTGTAATAACCCAGATCCCAAAGTATCATGGTGCAATTTAGGATGATATAGGAATTATAAAGTCACAAAATGATTGGCTGGCATGTCCTAAGGGCACTTTTAGATCCATGTTAGGTCACTAATTTCTCTATGAAGTGTATTGACTGATCTGCTAGAAGATTAATTATTGTTGTAGTAAACAGGCTGAATATTTGTTTTCTATGCTAATACTGTAGGTAAACATTTAACAGGACCTTTAAATTTCATGTACATTATAACCCTGGAGGGAAAACATAACAGTGGTAATAGCTAGAAGAAGGAAAATAATTTGAAAAGGAGAAGATGGTTGGTTGCTATTGTGTTCTATAAGTTAGATGTGCGAGTCTGTGCCAAGTTCCTTGTTTTATAGGTGGAAGTCTCCCTCCTGCTTATAACAACCTTCAAACTGACTCATATTAATAGAATGAATCAGGTATTTTCATTATGCAGAACAGTAGAAGAGAATGATAGTCAGAAGTGGAGTGGGCTAACTGAAACTGCATTGGACTGGAAGGCACAACTCTTGGCTCTGTCAAGAACTCACTGCATGATCTTCAGTAAGTGACGTAACCTGTCTGGGCCTAATTCATCCTTGTTGTAACTCAGCAGAAGTTAAGGGCAGAGTTGGTTGGGAACAAGTATTTCCATTCTGTGGAGAATTCTGACACTTTGGTGAAGAATTGTTCCCAATTGGAATGAAAAGCCAAAATTTTGAAACTTCCTGAAAAACAAAACAAAACAAAAAATATAAGAAATTTGATTTGCAACCATTTAAATGTTTTGTTTAGATAATATCAAATAGTTTTATTTTTAAAAAATCAAAATGTTTCATTTCGTTAAGGTAAAAACATATTTCAATACAATTGAAATGTTTTGTCTTCACTATGGTTTTAATTAATTTCACTTAGACTTTTACTACATTAAAATATGATTATGCATATTAACAGTGTGTACATATATTATAATTAATATTTTAATATATAAAAAACTATGAAAACAGTAGTTGAAACAAAACATTATTGAAAACCTTATTGAAACTAAATATTTTGATGTTATCAAAACAAAGACATTTAAATTATTTGTTTTGCTATTTTCCTGTCATTTTTTTAAATTAATATGTTCCTGCAAAACATTTTGATTGTTGACAACTGCATTTCTTTTATGAAAAACTGTTCTGTCAAAAAAATTTCAGCCACCTCTAGGTAAGGGTTCATAATAGATGAATCCTTTAAGCCTCATTTTACCAATCTGTAAAATGAGTTTGATAATACTAACCTCCCTGACAATTAATTATTATGAGAATTAATTATTGAAGCATATTTTGGGGTCTGTAAAGGCTGCTTTATGTTGCTCTAGTGTCCATTCCCCAACTTCCCCTTTAAAAATAATCACCATACTTAGCACATATAGCACTCTACAAATTTTAACAAATTAAGGGCCTGCTCCTCCTCCCCCTGAAGTCATTGACAAAACTCCCATTAACTTCAGGGAGAGCAAAACTGAGCCTGATTCCTGAAAACACCCAAGTAAGTAAATATCATCATTTTCAATGTACCTATGGCGAAACTAAGCTACAGAGAGGTGAGTGGCATTTTAGGATGCTTTTAGAAAGGTTTATCCATTGAATCTATTTTATTATTGTAATTGTTGTAACTGTTTGTGCAGCACGCTAAGCATCTTGACTTCAACAGAGATCAGTAGTCTGATCCTGTATTGCAAACCCTATGTTCCTATGACTCCTTCAGGGAATTGTAATGATTGGTTGGATACAATTTATCAGCCTACACATTTCAATTTGTAATTAAAATACTTTGCTACTACCACTAGCTCTACTGTTTTGTCTTTTATCCCTTCCTTGCCCTCCCCCCCGATTTTACTATGCCTCTTAAAAATACTAATTCACTGCTTCCTGCAGCACAAACCCCATACGTCACGCCTGCCTCTGAGGTGCCAAGCACTCATTTTCAATGGCACTGCTGAGCACCTCCTGGAATTAGGCCCAAAATCTTTATTCTCTGAAATTACTCTGTATTTCAGTTGTATCACTGTGAATCAAGTGAATCTACAGCTGCAGTCATGAATACTCTCTTTAGATTAAACAATTTAGTAAGTAATCTTATAAAACCGCAGAAACAGGCAAAGCAAAAGTTGGGGCCGTTCCTTGGCAGCCTCAACCCACCTAGACTCTTTTTGTGATTAATTTTGTCAGTGTTTGGAAAGTCTTGCATGTTAGAACATGACATGCCCCTATCTTATCAGTTTCAGGCTACATCCAGGTTGCAGACTCTTTGTGTGTAACAGAGAGGTATGGGTGGGGAAAGTCCCTGAACAAAGAGGAAAAGTAATATACTGCAACTCTGAAATGCAAACTTTGCTATTTTATATCTACTTTATATCCACATATTCAAATTGAATAATATTGGTTAGATATGAAATCAAGCTAAAGAAAAAGGAATGTGTTTTGTTTTATTTTAAATCTTAATGTAGGCCCCAATTCTGCAAAGATTTATACATGTGTTTAAAACTACCGATGTGAGGGTTCCATTGAAATCAATGGACTAGTGAGGTATGTGAAACGTGTATAAGTCATTGCAGGATCAGGGTCAGAACATAACTTCAAAGGGAACAAAGGTAATGATAATATTCCCATTGTTTTCAATTGAGACAGAATTAGACCCTTCGGGCCCAATTCTATAAAATATAGAGCAGCTCTTAGACGGTGCTTGTCACTGGGGCTGGCCAAATGGCACCAAATGGCTGGCCAAATGGCATTCCTGAAGGGTGTTTGTCCAACCAGTTCTTAAAAACCTCCAGTGATGGTGATTCCACAGTCTCCTTCAGAAGCCTATTCCAGAGCTTCACAGAATGGTTCTAGCATAGGACCCTAGGGAATAGAAGGACCTCTCATATACTGTAGCTTGTGGTGCCATCAAATTCACCTTTTGCTGATGAACATATGCTCATGCTTGTGGTGAAGAGAAAGGAAACAGAACACCAGGTCTGTGGTACTAGCTTTTAAAGCCTTAAGCCAAAAGCCTTCCTGGAAAAAACCTTTTTTGGGGTTTTTATTATAATACTTGCTTTGTTTACAACACTTTTTATTGGTACAAATTTTGCGAATGAAGAAGACATGCAGTGTACAATTACATAAGATAGCAAACCCATCTCTTGAGCGCGTGAACACCAGCTGCAAGGGTGATGTCAGGTTGCCAATAAGTTTCCCAAATACAGACACTGGGACAAGGTCACTCCTGCCTCATTGCCAAGGGAACAGTTTGCCATTCTTGTGGGCTGTGATTTGGGAGCAACACATTCCTACACATGCTAATCTACTGTCAAAAGTAAAAGTAAAAAGACATACTTTAAACGAAAGAATTACTATAGAACCCATATGGGCAGACAGTTTAATGATCTCTTGCATTTATATTTCATCCTTCATTTAAATGTCAAAAAGTAATTCACGCATCGGAACAAATCAAAGAAAAAATAGCTGAACAAAAATGTCTTAAATCTGGATTTACATTCTCACAGTGACTTGGACAGCCTAATCCTGAAAGGCATAGAATTCCATAAATGAGCAGCATAGTATGAAAAAGACTATTCCCCATACATAGAATGGCTAGCAAGCTCTCAGATCTAGAATAAAAAGACTGACCCAGAGGTATGGGGTGAGAAAGTCATGAAAGTCAGAGGGGCCAAGACTATGCAGCAACTTGTACTGTATGTGAATTTAAAAGCACTGTTTTACATTAAATCAGTGGAAGATATAAGTGGTCAGTGACCCTGGAACTGGATGTAGCAACAAAGTCCCAGACCCTCTAAAAAAGTTTTAGAGTAACTAGAAAAAGTCCAACGAAGAGGGAAATAACCCAGTCATGAAATTCCAAAACAATGAATACAAGATGTAGGGAAAATAGATGCTAATGGGAAAATAATTAATTTATTTCACATATTCTGCTTAAGACTCCTACTGGAATAGGGATCAAAGG